AAAAAAAAAAAAAAAAAATGACACAAGTTAAGTTGCATATGATGTTACGATAATTTGATGGAGCCATCGGATGGCTCCGTTACATAGCCATTCATCACTTTATGGACTGACATATGTCCAATGTGTATTTAAAGGAAAAATTCAATTTTAGTCCGCTAACTTGTCCATTGTTCACTTTTGGTACACTATCTTTCCCCTTATCAGAAATGGTTCATTATGTTACACTTTTCATCAGTTTTAGTACACTAATCCCGTGGCCCGGGATTACGAGATGCCAAATCAGGTTTTTATCCTATTACGTCAATATTTTATCCCTCCACGTAGTTCCAATCCCGGTCCACGTCATCATGTAATCCCGCCAACTGGAGTACCGTACTAAAACTGATGAAAAATGTAACATAATGGACCATTGTTTATGAGGGAAAAAATAGTGTACCAAAAGTGGACTATGGACAAATTAGCGGACCAAAATTGAATTTTTGCCTGTATTTAATGCAGGACGTTTCAATACACCATTTGTGAATAACTATGGATGTCTTCATAAGTCGAGTCATCCGATTGCTCCATAGCAAAAGCGGGTGAAGTGACCAAATTATAGTCAATTTCGCTGAACAAATTGATTATGGAAACCAAATAAAGTTTCAATATGAAGATTACTTTTTTATGACAAATATATGTATTCCAAATTAAGAATGGAAATAAAAATATTTTTATGAAAACATGTTCTATAATTTTTGTGTATTTATATATTATTTTATTAATATAAATGAGAATAAAAAATAAAATATATTATAATATAAATTTTAATAATATATGGTAAACCGTATTTCATGTTATCTATATATTTATTGTTTAGAATGCAACTTATTTTTTTAACGTATCGCATACTACTACATAGGACATTAATTGGCACGTTTTGTAATTTCTTACCTTTATTTTGTGATTAGTCTAAAGTGTGATCACGGTTTGCTAGAAATTCTTTTTAGTTTAATAGTCAACGATATTATTTATGCATGCGACTGACTTCAACAGTTGAACTGTAGTGAGTTGGGTCCTCATAACAACGATTTTTTAAAATATAAGGCTCTTTTACCAAACATACATTTTAATTTTAGGTGTGAATATATATCTCAACTCAAAACACAAATAAATTGTGGCGGGCATAGCATAACCATTTTTATTTTTTTTTATAAACAAGAACGGAATAATAACATGATATTATAAAATAAAAGTACAAATTGTTGTATTTTCTCTGTATTTATGTGTGCGAATTATTAATTTATAATCAGTTTATTATTATTATTATTATTATTATTATTATTATTATTATTATTATTATTATTATTATTATTATTATTATTTTCAAATGAGCCTTGTTAGTAGAGATGTGAAATTTGAGTAATAGTAAAAAATTGTATAGTTCAATTTAAAAGAGAATAGTGTAAAACTAATATTTTTTTCTAATTTGAAAATAAGTGTAATAATTGAAAACATAAAAATCAATGGTCAATGTTATAGCTTAAGAATGAATTTTGCGTTTGAAAGTTGCCAAAATCAAGAAAATTGCATTGCAAAATTTAAATTAATTAGTATAAGCGTCCATCTAGATGACACGAGGATCATGCAAATCATGCATTGGGATGCCATGCTGAGAGCTTTCAACGACCACGTCATTTGACTGTCACCCCTATTAATTAAAAAAATCAGACCATTAATTAATTATAATGAATTTCAACCAAATGCATATACATTAATTTACATCATTTACGTAATCGTAATTGATATCACCGATTAGAAAAAAAAAATAATAATAAAGTAAAGTGCAAGCAGTGGTCAATGGTATGCATACTATTAAAGAAAAATAAATAAATAAATAAATAAAAAGCTTGTAGTAAGGCAATACAATGCATGTTTCAGACGCTGGCTCACTCACTATAAATAAGCGCCTCCTACCACCCGTTCAATCACCACATTCACAACTCAAAATCAATCACAATTTACCTACGCACAACACACATATATATTATATATAAAAATCATTATTTAGTGAAAAATGACGCTTTCGACCTCGGCCGCTTTAGCCGTTGCCTTAGCTTCCGCCTTTCTCCTCCATCTCTGCCGATGCCACCCTAACAATAATAATCCGTCTCCTTATTCCCCGAATTGCCCCCCTGATGCTGAACCTGACCTAGTCGCTTTCCCTTTGAATCTCGAGTACTTGGAGGCCGAATTTTTCTTGTGCGGCGCTCTCGGCTATGGGCTCGACACAGCATCTCCCGGCCTCAGCAACAAAGGCCCAAAGCCCATCGGCTGCCAGAAGGCCAACCTAAGCCCGTTCGTCAGAGATATCGTCACCCAAATGGCTTATCAGGAAATCGGACATCTCAAGTACGTAACTTATATATATATATATATATATATATATATATATATATATAGTTAAATTAATTAATTGAGGTGGTTTGATTAATATAATATGCATCGTATATCAATAGGGCAATAAGACAGACTATTCAGCCTTCTAATCTTGCATTCCCGAGGCCGCAGCTTAATCTGAGTTCAGCGGTATTCGCAAGTATTATGAACAACGCCTTTGGAGGGAATAATAATGAACTCAATTCGTTCGACCCTTACGCTAACGACTTGAACTATCTTATTGCATCCTACGTCATCCCTTATGTTGGATTAACCGGATATGTGGGGGCACTGCCTTGCATCATCAGTCCAATTTACAGAAGGGTAAATTAATTAATTAATTAATTAACCATATATATATTTGAACTGTATATAGATTAATTGACCATAAATTAATAACTCTCATTCATGTGCTCTTTTTGTGGACAGCTGGTGGCGGGGCTTTTGGCGGTGGAATCGGGCCAAGATGCGATTATAAGGCAAATGTTGTACGAAAATGCCGAGACAATAGTAAGTGGATCCGGATTCTACTCGGTGGCCAATTTTACCCAAAAGATTTCGGAACTGAGGGACAAGCTGGGAGGACGAGGGCACAAAGACGAGGGTATATTAGTCGACCCGAAAGATGGTGCGGAGGGAAAGATATCCGGGAATGTGCTTGCCGGTGATGTTAATTCGGTGGCTTTTGACCGAACCCCGGAAGAGATTCTCGGCATTGTGTACGGGAGCGGAGACATGTGCGTGCACGGTGGACTTTTTCCCCAAGGAGGTAATGGGAATATAGCGAAAAAATGTCGCAAAAGGCGAAACTGATCAAAATAAATAATTTAAATGAAATTATGATTGTGTTTGTGTTGTTATATTATATATACTAAATAATCAAAGAGTGTGTTTTGGTACTGTGTCTTTTATTTTTATTTTTGATGATTTGGGAGTCTTAATTTGTGCTAGCTGATCGGCTTGTGATCAGAATATGTGTCGTTTCATTGTTTCATCGTTTTCTATATCTTTCTTATTATGAATAATGATAATGTATTGTATGGTATCACCAAGTATGAATCGAGTTTGCTGATTATAAAAATTTGATTTGTGGCGATTAAATATGAAAATTAACTTTGACTAAATTATTTCTATTGTAAAAGTAACACAAGATTCAAATTATTGGAAAAAAAAAAAGAAAAAAGAAAGAAAAGAAAGGAACTAGACAGACATTTGCAGAATCAATGAAGTGGTGTGTGCAGAACACTATTCTTTTTCTCTGGATCTGTTATTTTAACTATTTAATGTGAATTCGAGTCGTATGACATCTGTTTCCATGAAACCGATGTTAAATGTCTTCATTTATATCGGTTTTTAAATGAAAAGATGTTAAACGTTTTCATTTACAACTATTTTAACAATAACCGATGTGCATAAAACGTTATTCACATTGGTTTTTATGAAAAGAAATCTAGTGTCATGACATCAATTTTTTATGAAAACCGATGTAAATATTTTTTTTATCAAATTGATTATTCATATTTTTGGGGCTCATTTTTTCCCTTATGGCATCGGTTTTTTAAAAATCAATGTGAACATATGTTTTTTCACATCGGTTCAAAACCGATGTAAAAAAAGCAGACTTTTAACATCGTCTGTTTCAACGTCGCTTTCAAAAAGGAGTTTTAACCGATGCAAGCATGTTTTTTAACCGATGTTAAAAGTGTTTTTTTTCACTATGTATCTTTCACTCTATTGAGAAAATCCACGAGAGCTTATAGTTCAAGAAGAACGAGGAGAACTAGGAGCAATCGTATGAAGACAATTTCGAGCCTACTCTAGGTGGAGGAGGTCAACAACTTCAATGTTAACAATCTCTTCCAGCCAATGCCAAGAAGAAGTACGTATGCTTTCAAAACCAGCAATGAGTACGAAGCGATGCAAACGACACATACAGGCATATCATCTGACCGAAATAGAGATTCCCACGACCAAACGCAATTCCCGATCCCGGTAGGGAGTGGCACTGCATCTACAGGTATGTCTTCTACGTTATTTTAGTACTCTCGTGAAAACCGTAGAAGAAAACTAGATGAATTTGTTTCTGCTTCGTCTCTTCCAATTTTGTTGATTCTCATTTATATGAATTTTTTCAAATGGTTTTAAACCCGGCTGCGTCTCGGGTTCTACGTACTATTATCAATTGTGGTATTCAAACAATTATAAGTGTGAAAAAAAATAACTTTGGCTCAAACTTTTAAAGCCTTAAACCAAAGAATTTTATTTTTTGTGTCATTTGGTCCAACCATTGGTAAGATAATTTTATATGGAAATTACTCGTCGTTAGGTACATGATAGTTTTACATTACAAAAGTGTTTAATTGCTTATATGGATTTCCTAATGCTCACATTGCTTCTAATTTCACTTGTTTAATTTCACGTGTCTTGAATAGTCATAGAATCGGTAAAAAGAACTTTTTTCCATTTCTTTTGATAATGCAAGTGCCAATCATGTATCTAAAATAGAGCTTAATGAAATTTTTGTCCCCTTTTAATATTTATGCATTTTTTTTTTTTGTTTATAACACCAGCCATTTATGATATTTAATAACTTATGAATAACATATAATAAAATTATTAATTAGTATGCAAAACATCAGAATCGGTACTGACGCCTCTTTGGTATCGTGTTATCGTATCTATCGTATCAATTGCATAATTTATTAATTCATTCTAAATTTAAAACATTATTAAGCTTATTATGCTATAAATATGCATAATGTAATAAACTAATTTAGAATATTAATATAATATCATGTGTTATAAATATTTACTTCACGAATCACAAATAATTTTTATTTCATAAAATAAAGTATATTTTAGAAAGAAAAATAAAACTAATTTTTTTAGATCAACTTGGCTGATTGAATTAAGTTATTGCCTAGGTTTATTGGGTGGTTTTTAGGTCTTTGGTAAGGTGGCCCAACAAAAAAAAGAATGACACAGCTGAGTTGCATTCAAGGTGACCAAATTAAAGGTCAATTTTGCCGAACAGATCGATTATGAAAATTAAATAAAAGTTTCAACATTAAGATTACTTTGTAATATTGCTTTGTTATGATAAATATATGTATTCCAACTAATTGAATTAAAAATGCTTTTATGAAATCATGTTGTATAATTTATGAGCATTTATATATTATTTTATTAATATTTATGAGAATAAAATATATTATATTATAATTTTAATAATATAGGATAAACCGTAATTCATGTTATCTATACATTTAATTTATAACACAACTTAGTTTTTAGAGTATCGCATACTACTTGTAGCATTTTTCACATTAATTGACACTTTTTGTAATTTCTTACCCTTATTTTGTGATTCAATAATGCTATGAGGACATCCAGTTTTACAACTCAAATGACAACTGCATACGTGTAAAGTAAATCTTGACTTATTTAATGTACAAAATAAAAAAATAATCACTAAACCATCTTCAATTATAAGACTCACACAGGCCACAACGAAACAAAACCTAGCAGGAAGTAAGGAACCATCTTCAATTCCAATTCAGGGAGAAACATACCTAGCACGAGAGATAATCGGGTAAAATTGTTTATGTGCTTTCCCCGATTTCCAGATTTGATTTTTTATTTCGGTTTTTTGGGTGCAAACAACGTCAGCCACCTTCGTGGTGACCAACAGTGTCGCCCGCAAGGTCCTCTCCGGCAGGGGGTACAGGGAGTACAGGCTCGGGGACTACTCGAATTGGCTGCAGAACAGGGTCAACGACCACTGGGGCCGGGTTAGGAGCTATTTGGTTGACAGTAACATTTGTCAGAGGCTGCTTCAGGCTTGTTCGACCCCGGTGGACGATTTTTACCGAGAGCATCTATCTGCGCTTCAGGTATAGTTATTTTCTTATTTTTTCTTTGAAATATTCTTCTGGGTCGATGGATTTTTGTTAAATTGTTCATGGGTTCTTGAGTATTTGTTGATATCTTGAGGATTTGTGTTAAATTGTTCTTTGGTTCTTAAATATTTTTTGATATCTTGAGTTGTTTGAGCAGTGGTGTATAAGAATTTTTTATGGTGTTCTGGGTGTTTGGTTCTAGATTTCACTTAATTTCATATGAATTCTTCATATACACTACATCAAGAAAAAGGAAAAAAAGGGATACTGTAGAGAATCAAATATTGAGAGGTTTGAGATGATGATTCTTGCTTTGATTATAAAGATTGAGATAAAACAGATATGTTATCAACAGTATGTGCAGTGTAGACAATGAAATCTATATTTTGGAAAATAGAAACTTTTGCTCCAGAATCTTTCTTTTTGCTTTATGTTGTGTTAGGTTGATAAAAAGTTGAGTGCCTTTAAATTGGTTTCTCCCATTATTAGCTTGGGAAAGTGGCTTTTCTGCATCTGACTATTCTGTAAAATTCTTCCTTCTTATTATCCACTGCCTGACATGATTATCTTGCAAAATGAATTTTTGAATATGGTCCATTTTTTTTCCTTGTAATTTTAAAGTTTGACCCCATCTTAAGAAGTGACAATTTGCTTAAACCATTGCTTGCTAGTAGTTCAACTTCAAATTGAAGTTCATTTTTCCTTTCTAAAATATGGTTCTAGTAAGTAAACTATTTCTTTTCCCCTATAGCCTAGCACTTAACCATAGTTTTTTCACATTGAAATTTACCAGTCTGGATGTTGTAAGCCCTCGAATGATTGCAACTTCACGTACGTGAGCCCAACAAACTGGACACGGCCACAAACACCAGCTTCTAGCAACCCAGACTGTGCTCGGTGGAGCAATGAGCCGAGAGTGCTCTGCTATGGCTGCGACTCGTGCAAGGCTGGCCTTCTCGATAACATCAAGACCGACTGGAAGAGAGTTTCCGTTATAAACATCGTTTTCCTTGTGTTCTTAATCATTGTTTACTCGGTTGGGTGTTGTGCATTTAAGAACAACCGGGAGGACAACAGTGCCTGGAAACGTTATCCTTGAGGGGAATGGAAACCAATTTAGTAGGGTCTTAGATTTGTGTTTGTTCTCTGATGTATTATTGCAGATGTATTATTGCAGTTTGAAGTTCATGTTTTTACTTCATTTCATGCCCAATGGTTATCTGAATAATGCAATGAAGGCTATTTGTGTTGGAATATATGGTTGAACTCATTTTTTATGCAAGAATGATATGATATTTTTCATTTCCAACTGTGCTTTGTGCAAAATGAAAGTGATTATCTTTGTCCATATAAAGTAAGCAACCTTGTGTAGTGTAACCCTTGAGCATAAAAATTCAAAGGTTGTAAGATTCCTTCAATTAACAGAGATAAGAGAATCTTGAAACTAACCTTTTAATGTTACAAGATCTTACTCACACAAACTGGAATACTGATAAATTACTCCACACATTAAGTGCAGATAATCGATACACAAAAAATATGTTGTAAGGACAATAGGTCCCATAAAAAGCTGCTCATTCCATGCAGCTCAAGCAGATATCACCCAAGGTGCTATACACTATTAACTCTCACATAATGTAAACCACATCATTCCATATTTATAAAATAAATAACAAACGTGTAAAAAAAAAGATGCTAGTGGAATCAAACTGCACTCACAAACCAATTCAAAAAGCGTTCAAATCAATTCAAAACAAGTCCACAAGAACATTACTAGGGAAAAACGAAATTGAAATCAAAGTCACATGTCCACAAGAACATCATTGGGAGACGACATAAGTTTCAAGTACTGAAATCCAATCAAAATAAATAATCACACCAAATGACACACCAATTAGCAAAGCCAAAACTTCGTCCAAGATCGACCATTCTGCTAGTCTAGGTATGGATGTTGGTTAACTATTGACGACTTCGACGTTTTGTCCCCCTCATATGTTGCCAGCACATTAGTTCCCCAATTAGGAACAAAAGAGGGTATAAATAACTCCTGTGAATATGACATTGGAGCTAAGGTGGGAAGATTAGCCTGCACCATTGGTTGAACATATGTGGCACTTTCATGTGGTTTAGAGGATGCCATATTTTTTTGTTTTGACGAGACCTACATAGTCAAGATATAAGATTAATAAACTTAAATATATAAAATGATGATCTAACATAACCATATATAGATTACAATTTACCTTTAATTTCTTAGAAATCTTTTCTAGTGCCCCTTTTTGACGTAATTTTCGGGGAGCTCCTTTTCTTTTCACGTGATTTGGATCAGAAATTTTTGGTCCCAAAATTGTATCCACTCCTCCATTAACAGAATCTACCAAAATACTTTGGTCCAAATTAGATTTTCCTTCACTTCTTTGATCCATATTCATTAAATCCAAATTATTAGATACAGATCCGATCCACTCCATAAGCTTACTTGCTCTCACATCATCATTCGCCACCTTGTCGGCCACCACTGCAAAAGCACGACACAAATTATCATATCGTAATTGATCAGGTGTCGAGATCCAACCATCATAGTTGATCTTCACCCTTTGGTATGATCTACACACATCTCTTCTCCACCTCCTCAATATATACATGTCAGGAACGGACGTCACATCATTGCGAATCAAAACTGTGATAGCATGTTTGCAAATTATCCCTCGAAACTCAAATAAATGACAACTACAAACAAAGTTTCCTGATTCCTTTTGAGTTTGAACAATGTAGAATTTTTTATATTTTTTTCCATTGCAAATAACATCCTCCTGAACCATGTATTTATGTCCCCGTAAGAATTTCTCACATCCATCCTCTTTGGATATAATCTCACAGTAAACCATACCTGTAAATTGAGATTGAAATTCCTTGAACTTATTGATGGTGTAAATGGCTTGAAATTGTTTTTCTAATTCATACAAAGTAGCACATGGAACCATCGCCGAATATGACTTACAGTCAGCCTGAATCTCCTTCTCCACTTTACTACGCAGTGCCCTCTCGTATTGTTCAACAAATTGCTTCAATGTTGTTTTAGCATTGACATATCCATCAAAAAATGCATTAATACTCTCACTACGTTGTGTTGTCGACATCCCCGCCCAGAAACTCGTCTTCAGAAAGCACGGAACCCAACGATTTCTTTCACCATAGAGGCTAAACAACCACTCATTCTCGTGTAGTTCATACAAGTGAACCATATTGATCCAACCCTGCTCAAATTCTTCTGGACTTTGAGATTCATAAACCACTTCATGAATTGTCGACATGATAGCACCTTTTTGCGGATGACCACCAAATTTCTCAGGCAACTTTTTTAGTATATGCCACAAACACCATCTATGCCTCGTGTTCGGAAAAATTGTTTGGACAGCATTTTTCATTGCCCTATCTTGGTCTGTTATTATTCCGATGGGAGCATGTCCCTCCATGCACTCAAGCCATGTTTTAAAAAGCCATTCGAAAGTGTCTGTATCCTCGCTAGATATTAAGCCACATCCAAACAGCGTAGAATGACCATGGTGGTTAACACCTACGAAAGGGGCGAATGGCATATCATACTTATTTGTTAAATACGTGGTATCGAACGTCACTACATCACCGAACTCTTGATATGCTTTTCTACACCTATTATCAGCCCAAAATACGTTTTTCAACCGAAACTCCTCGTCCAAGTCAATGCTAAAGTAAAAACCCGGACAATTAGCCTGCATTTTAGAAAAGTAAGACTGAATTGCAGCTGCATCCCCTTCTCCGAGTCTCAAACGTCGAACCTTAGCAATATAATTTCGGCAGTCCTTCTCAATAAATGACATCTTTTCATACCCACCAGCCTCTACAACAGCCGAATTAAAGCTTTTATGTAAAGGAATTCCAGCTACATCATTCACCTCAAGTCGTCGTTTAATATTGGTGCTTAACTGACGATGGCAACGATATAATCTTGATTTAGAGGGACTTATAGCATGATTATGCTCGAGATGGACACCTGTAATTTTCCACGTCCCCGTAATATCCGAACAAGCTGTCAACCGAGCTTCACACCCATTTTTAATGGTGGGTTGTGGTTTGAAAGTAGCGGAAGTTGATTTCATTTTTTGTCCCTCTCGGCTACAAGTAAACATTGCATTTTTTATGACACCGTCTTCGTCTTTCCTTGAACTTCTCTTTCTAACTGAAAAACCCACACGAGCGGCATATTTTTTGTAAAATTCAAACACTTTGTCGTAATTTTGGAACTTCATTCCAACCACTGGCACAGATGTTTCATCTTCAATGGGTACTCCAATGTGCAATTCACTTTCAACAACATCCTTTGTAACTATCTCATTACCTTTGAAACACTCATTCTCCACCAACTGCTTTTTTCTTTCTTCATTATAATTGAGCCCAGAAACTTGGTTTCCTACATAACATTAGGATTATTATTAGATAAAGAAATTATAGAAAATCTGAAGGAAAAAAAAAAAAAAGAACACCATCGAATAAACTGAAAAAATCAATCAATTATCACCACTGTCAAAAGCTACACACAAAGTAATGAATGGTTTACCTGTGTCATTTGTCATCATATTTCTCCACAAGAAAAGAGTACCACGAAACGATTGGTCACCACAAAGTCGGTTGACGTTGTTTGCACCCAAAAAATCGAAATAAAAAATCAAATCTGGAAATCGGGAAAAGCACAGAAACAATTTTACCCTGCTAGGTTTTGTTTGGCTGTGGCCTGTGTGAGTCTTTTAATTGAAGATGGTTTAGTGATTATTTTTTTATTTTATACATTAAATAAGTTAAGATTTACTTTACACGTATGCAGTTGTCATTTGAGTTGTAAAACTGGATGTCCCCTATAGCATTATTGTTTGTGATTAGTTACTAATATGCACCATGGTTTTGTAACATGTGTGCCAGTAACTCTTTTTACTTTAATATTAGCCCTAGTAATAGTATGCACTTCCATTTGAAAGTGGGACGGCTTTCCAGTCAACGGTATTATTTACAGCATGCTTTGTATTATTTACAGCATGCGATGACGTGAACAGTTGAACTGTTACGAATCACACGGGTGACATAAGTCTTCATAAATCATAACAACGATTTTTTTTTTTTAAATATAAAGCTCTTCACCAAACTTACATTTTAATGTTATGTGTCAATGTGTGAATATCTCAACTCAAAACAAACATAAATTGTGGCGGGCATAGCATAACCATTTTTTTTTATAAACAAGANTTACAATTTACAACACGTTATTATAAAATAAAAGTACTAATCGTATTTCTATTTTTATGTTGGCCGAGTTAGTAGAGATGTGAAGTTTGTGTCATGGTGACCTAGACCTATTAAAATAATTCCAATTTTAGATAACTATCTTTGAACTATCGATCTGAAGTTAGTATGGAGTATGGAGATGTAGAAGATAGTGTAAATAAGAATATTTTAGATATCAGATGAAGAAGAAGAAGAAGAAGAAGAAGTATCTAATTATACCTTATCCCTATTTATATTGTCATTACATTGGTGCCCAATTAATTGTGCATCTTGGTGCCCAATAATTCTTGTTGCCAAAGAGCTGCTCGAAAGTACAATGGGCTGCCCCAATGACTGTGCGAGGGGTAAAGCTGGTTGACCGGGGATCTGTCCGAGATTCGTCCTTATCCTTATAGTTGTTCTTATCTTGATGTGTTCACACTACTGATGCTCTTCAGGTCCTTCACCTTGCCCTAGATCGAAGTGCGTCTCATGACTCGTCTAGGTCTCTAAGTCTCACTGTCAGCTTACCATTAGGTGATTAACTAGGATGTAAGCAAAATATTTAGGTATGTCGAGTTGTAATACTATCTCGCTAAAACCCTTACTAGGTCGAGTCGTAACATTGGGAATTTTAGGTAATTACCTTGGTGACAAGCACGTCGGAGATGAAGTGCAGACCTAAATGGTGACCCGGTGAGGTTGAGCTAGCCATTTCTCTAGTTATATCAATGTGAGTAATGGTTAAAAATTGTAAAATTGATTTTAAATAGAATATTGTAAAAATAATTTTTCTTTTTTAATTTTGATGATCATTATAATAATTGAAAATAATAAAATCAATGGTCAATGTTATAGCTTAAGAATGAGTGGCGTTTGAAAGTTGGTAAAGTCAAGAAAATTGCATTGCAAAATTCAAATTAATTAGAATAAGCGTCAATGTAGATGACACGAGGATAGTGCAAATCATGCATTCCGATGCCATGCTGAGAGCTTTCAAAGATCACATCATATTTTTCACCCCTTTTCGTTAAAATAATCAGACCTTTAATTAATTCTTATTAATTTCAACCAAATGCATATAAACATATTCAATCATTTCGTACATGTCATCGCCGATGATTAAGCACAATAAAATTAACTGCAAGCAGTGGTCAATTGGCATACGTCCAATTATTAAAAAAAATATATATATATATATATCAACAACAAAAAGAAACGCAATAAAGAAAAACAATAGGTGCATATATATAAGAACTATCATCTTCTTCAATCACCACACTCACAACTCAAAATCACTCAGAATTTACATACACACATATATTTTATATATAGATAATTATTTGGCGGAAAATGACACTTTCGACCTCGGCCGCTTTAGCCGCCGCCTTAGCTGCCGTCTTTCTCCTCCATCTCTGCCGCGGCCACCATGACAATAGTACGGCTTCTTCTTACCCGAATTGCACCCATCTTGATTCCGACATAGTCGCTTTCCCTTTGAATCTCGAGTACTTGGAGGCCGAATTTTTCTTGTGCGGCGCTCTCGGTTATGGGCTCGACAAAGCATCTCCCGGTCTCAGCAACGGAGGCCCAAAGCCCATCGGCTGCCAGAAGGCCAACCTAACCTCTTTCGTCAGAGATATCGTCACCCAAATGGCTTATCAAGAAATCGGACATCTCAAGTACGTAACTTATTGCCATGAATCATTCATATATACATGTAGTTAAATTCACAAGTAAATTACAATTTTTGTCCAGTATGTTTCATTACTTTAACTATTTCGTCTTCTTTGAGTTGCGTTTTTTATTTTTGTCCTGTATGTTTGAAAAAAAGATACAAAAAAATCATTTTTGCAACAAAAAGGTCCTTTATGTTTCGCAAAAAAATATTCCAGTTTCGTCCCTTATGTATGAAAATGACCTTTTTATAACCGTTTTTCAACCATACGGGACGAAAATCAAAAATATAATTCGAAGAGGACGAAAAAGTTAAAGTAGTGAAACAGAACTAAAATTATAATTTATTCTAAATTAACTAATTGAGGTGGTTGATTAATATAATATGTATGTATACCTATATACATAGGGCAATAACACAGGCGCTACGGAATTCAGGGCCTAATCTTACATTCCCGAGGCCGCAGCTTGATATTCGGCCCGAGGTATTCGCAACAATTATGAACAACTCCTTCGGAGGGAATAATAATACACTCGACCCCCCATTCGACCCTTACGCTAACGACTTGAACTATCTTATTGCATCTTACGTCATCCCTTATGTTGGATTAACCGGATATGTCGGGGCACTGCCTTGCATTCTCTTCAATCAACCTTTCAGAAAGGTAAACCATTATGTAAAACTATAGATTGAAACATATAAATCTTTGTTGGATTTTGGTACATTAACTTTCCCTTTGTCACTAATAGTAGGTTATGTAGTAATTTATGGTTTTGGCGATCAGCGGATAGCGGATTGTATCAGCAGACAGCAGATTATATTAGTTGATTTGACCAGCAAATTGTATTGGCGGTTTTTAAATAAGTGTTTGGTAAATAGCTGAAAGCTTATAGCTGTTTGACATTGTAAAATGACCAATAAGGACATTTTATTATTTAGGGTGTATTCTTTTAATAATAATATATTAAAACATTTAATATTCTTTAGTTGATAATTTATAAATATATTATTTTTTAAAAAAATTTACTAACACTTGATGAAAAAGTTATGAATTTTATATTTTTCTAGATAAATTAATTATATGGATGACATATTATTATTTATTACACCATAAACCAATGTGAATTGTAAAATAAATAAAACAAATTTAAAAGTTCCAAGTAAGCTATTTATTATTATTTTTTGTGAATCCTCTATCCCCAAAACGCTGCTCTAATGAGCTTTTTCTAAATTAGAGTTTTGTGCCCAAAAAACTTCTCAAATAAACTATTTACCAAACAAGCTCAATAGCGGATTTGACGGGTCAAACCTCTCAATTAAGTCCAATCCGCTAATTTATCTTCAATCCGCTATCTACCAAACGGGGCCTACATCATTTTTGGGACATTACTCATCAAAAACAGTACGTTATGTTGCAGTTTGTATCCTTTTTAGGACATTAATCCCAAAAAATAATGAATCATTTTCGCGATAATGTCACAATAGTGATACAAATTGCAACGTAACGTTCTATTATTGATGAGGAGAAAGTTAGTGTACAATAAAAATGACTTTAAAAAAGTAAACAGACTAAAATTGAACTTTTGCCCTGACTGATCATGTANATAACTCTCATTCATGTGCTCTTTTTGTGGACAGCTGGTGGCGGGGCTTTTGGCGGTGGAATCGGGTCAAGATGCGATTATAAGGCAAATGTTGTACGAAAATGCCCAGAAAGAAGTAGGAAAATATGGATACTCGGTTGCCAATTTTACCAACAAGATTTCGGAACTGAGGGACAAGCTCGGAAGACGAGGGCACAAAGACGAGGGTATATTAGTCGACCCGAAAGACGGTGCGGAGGGAAATATCTCCGGGAATGTGCTTGCCGGTAATGTTAATTCGGTAGCTTTCGACCGAAGCCCGGAAGAGATTCTGGCCATTGTTTACGGGAGCGGAGACATGTGTGTGCACGGTGGATTTTTTCCCAAGGGATGTAATGGGGATATAGCAAAAAGTTGTCCCAAGAACGAAACTGAAAAGGAAAAAGAGAAAAAAGAAAAAGAAATATAGCGCCGCGTACGTTATGATAGTGTATCACGGCACGGGACATATTAAAAGAAATTGACGTCAAGAAACAAAGTATAATAGTACGAATAAAAAAATTTAAATTATTCAATACTTCTTTTATATTCATTGTTCTTTTTTTTTCGTAAAAGTTTATTGGCCGTAGCGTCACGATAATATTTTTCATCGTTTCGTCATGTTGATAATTATAAAAGCAACCATCAACATAAAACTAACCATGCATGTTCAATTGTTCATTAATAAAATTAAGTGAAAACGTATTTAAACCAGAACAACAAANAATATAAAAAAGTACAAAGCACAGATAAAAAATTATACATTTGTACAAAACATGTTCAAATATAATTATTTTTACCGTCATTTTTCTTGTTATCAACTTCTTAACTTGTTCCTTCAATCATGAATTTTGTACTAAAACAACATAAGTTTATAGACATTAAAAAAATCTTGGTGGTTTTGAATAATTCAACCAATTTTTTTAAAGGCTCAAAGTCATGTAAAATTATTTGTCGTCGAAAAAAAAAAGTCATGTAAGATAAGACAAACCCTGACCACTTTGTTTAATTCATGTTGACATCTCTTTCAGTAGTGTGACGACATTGTTTGAATACCAAAGAATTTCAAGTATATGTACCATAATATGTATTAGGCCAAATTGCAAAAACTAGCCAGTAACTTAGACGGGTTGGCAGTTTTATCCACCATCTTTCGATTTTGGCAATAATAGCCAAAACGTTTTAAAAAATCGGTCCTTCTACCCAAATCCGGCCAAACTCGTCGGAACTCTACCTGAGGTCACAAAACTTGCCAGCGTGGACTACACGTGGACGAATTAATCCACCTCAGCTATACCGTCTATAAATACACTATCCACGCGTGTTCTCCTTCATTTTTCACACAAAAATCGGCAAAAATTCGAACAAAAAAGAAAAGCCCCAATCTTCAACCAGGAAAACCCTAATGCTTGGAAAGCCTTCTTGTTCGGTACAACCTTCAAGAAATTCGACTTAAGAGTTAAGCTCGAACGAGATGTCTTACAACACAGATAATCCAAATTGCCGTTGTGGGTTGCGAGCTGAAATTCGCACTTCGTGGAAAACTCCAAATTGTGGAAGAAGATATTTCTCGTGCCTCCATTGGCCTGTAAGTCATACAATATTTGAGAGTTTTAGATGAATAAGTGCTTTGTAATTGAATTTGATTTTTGTTTTTATTTATGTATTTTATTTTTGGTGAAATTCAGGGAGGAGGATGCAAGTATTTTGGATGGGTCGATCCTCCTCTTTGTGCCCGTGCTCAACAAATAATTCCTTGGTTGCTCAGGAGATTGAATGAAATAGAAGAATCAAGTAAGAGTGCTGACATTGAAAAATTCGAGGTTCTGAAGTTTGAAGAAGAAAACAAGAAATTGAAGAAACTCAATTTTCAGTTTGAAGAAAAAAACAAGAAGTTTAAGAAACTCAATTTTGAGTTTGAAGAAGAAAACAAGAAACTGAAGGCAGAAATTCTGAAATTGAAGTATGAGAGTGCCAAAAAAACAAGACTTTTAAGGATGTTAGTAGCATTATTGATAATTTGGAGTTTGGTGTTTTCCTTTTGTGGCTCTCAGACAGATGATGAAAAGATGGTGAATAATTGATATTAGGTTGATGCATATTTGTAATGTTGTTGACATTGTTGTATTTGGATGTAACTTGATCTTGTAATGGCATAACAAATGTTAGTTTGTGGCATATTTGTGCTTCGTGTCTCTCATTACCTGTTAGTTGTTTAACCATTAGGAAATTTTTAGCTGCAGCTTTGCACACAAACTTCACACAGCAATATACACAATGCATAACTAAAACTCCTTATCAGTCACAACAATATACACAGTGCATACACAGTACAAACTGCACACACTACACAGTGTAGGGGTGGGCACGGTCCGGGACGGTCCGGGATTTGACCTATCCCGGTACCTGTCCCGGTTTTTTGAACCGGTCCGGGAACGGTCCGGGACGAGACTCCGTCCCAAACGGATCGGTATCAATCGGGACCGGGACAAAACGTATTAAAAAAATGTTCAAACTTCAAAATGATTCACTATTTCACTTTTTTAAAAAAAAAAACTTTGATTCCATACCAGCAAGACACAAAGCTGCAATCAAGCATTCTGCATTAAAAGAAAAAAGCTGCAATCAAGCATTCAAAAGGTACAGACTTCGAAATTAAGTGCTGATTCCATTCAAAATTTCAAAATTCAAAGGGTACACACTTCCGCAATCAAACATTCAAAGCTGCAATCACTTAAATTCTTAAAACAAAAGGGTACAGACTACTTGGTGTTGGTGGAGTTTCCATTGTCCGTGAATGGTGAATGCCTCCCAGCTGCAGGAATTTTCGGAGATGTTCGCAGGATTGACTTTTGTCCATGGTATGTGGGCATTAGGGTTCTTGATTTTTCGATTGGGAATTTGAGATTTGAGATTTCAGCAAAGAACCATATATATTGAATTTGGGTTTTGATTCTAAACTTGGGAACTGAATCGAAAAAACAATGGAGAGATTGGAGGTTTGCCGATTTGAATTGCGATGGAGATTGGAGAAAAGAATGAATGTGAAAGAAATTCAGATGGGAGGAATGAGAATTGTGAACGCCCGTAATGGCGTAATCACTAATCAATATACAATGTCACAATAATTAAATATTAATGTATTTGCCTTCTCAGTTTAGTTGACAGTTGGGCCAAATACATATACGTGGGCATTTTTAATTCTTTGGGCCAAGTGTTAAGTGTATTGGGCTTTAAGCCTTTAATAAATAAATTATAAAAATAAATTATAAAAATAAAAAGCCTGAGAGTCTGGGTGTGAAACATCAAACAAGAAGTTCAAAAATATTTAAATATAATACTAACATAAATATAACAATAATGTATAATACATATATATATAATATTTTTGTACAAAAAATATAAAACGGGACAAACGGGACGGTTCGGAAAAAAAATATTAAAAACCGATACCGACATTGTTTCAACCGGTTCGGTACTGGGAACGGTACGAAAATTTTAAAAACCGATTAGAACCCTATCTTTTCGGAACGGGACCATTTCGGTCCGGTTCGGGATCGGGAAATTCGGTTTTTTTGCCCACCCCTAACACAGTGCATACCAAAACCAACAAATTAGAATTCCTTACAAGACCATAACAAATTCATTACCAAATCCAACACAAAATGTATGAAAAACCATACCAAATCCATTACAAAAACCATACCAAATCAAATTACAAAATCCATTACAAAAACCATAACAAAACTACCAACCAAATCAGCCCATTATCAAACCATTCCTTAGAACCCATATCAAAAACCATACCAAATCCATTACAAAATCCATTCAAACTACCAACCAAATCAGCCGATTATCAAGCAGTACAAAAGATCTAAGCAAATCCAAACTTCAAAAGATCCCTTCAGAGTTATAATATTTTCCATAACAAACCAGTACAAAATCCCTTACAACCCATTATCAACCTAGTTCAACAGACACAAATTCACTTGTCATTGCCATGACTTTTTTTGTTAAGTACCAAGTACTTTTTCCCCTTATCAAGTACAACCTTTTCATGTGCTAATGTAATGCTGCTTCCCATAGAAAAAACAGGTCTCTCTCCTGTAAATGTAGGAGGCCCTCTGATTTGAACTCCATGTGTGGCCCTTGTAGGCTGCACTGGGTTTCCCCTGACTAACTGCTCATACATGGATGGTCCAGGAGTTGATCTTTGCATTGTGGCTATCAAAGGTGTCTGGGACTGTTGTGTAGGAATTTCTTCCATCACCATACTTTCATCTTCATGATTTGACAGTGGTGGAAACAAAGTTGGGTTCACAGTACTTGCTAGGCTTCTAAGGGATGGACCACTGTTTCTTCTTACCTGAAATTAAAACACACATCAAAATAACTTAGTAATTGCACTCACAGTTAAAGGATTAGAAAACACACAGTAGCAGTATATATATTTAAACACACAGTAGCAGTTAAATGATTATAAAACACACAGTAGCAGTTAAATGATTATAAAACACACAGTAGCAGTTAATTGCACCCACAGTTAAGTGAAATTAAAACACACAGTAGCAGTATATATATTTAAATTAATTACCTGCATCTTTTGTACTGGTGGAGGTTGATTAGTTGTAGATGAACATGTGGCTGCATTATGGCCTTCTCCACCACATCTGCTGCAGTTGGCCTTTGTCTGTTGCCTCCTCACTTTTGTAGGAGCTGAAGTTCCTTTTTTCTTCTTATTTTTCCCAACTATCTCATCACTCTCTCTTCTCCTTGCCTTAGAAGGTCTCCCTGCACCCCTTCCAAAATTTGGTGGCAGTGGTGGTATGAAATTGTTCTCCTCCCAAAGTTCAGTGCCATTAATGGGATACAAAGTGTTCCCATAAGCAGTCATATACTTAGACACTGTGTAGCATTCATCTACATAGTCCTCAACATTAGCTTTCTGAAAATGGATGGCACTCAAAGCATGGCTGCATGGAATTCCAGACAATTCCCAAGACCTACATGAACAAACTCCATCCTTTAAGTTCACAGAGTATTGTGCACCATTGTTACACTTTATCTCAAAGTGTATGTCATCAGCCTTCACTGGTATGCAATCAGCCACTCCCTTATTGTGTAGCTCAAGAAGCTCCATTATTCTTGGACAGAATTTATTCTTCCACTTTCTTGCAGCTCTATCTCTATTCTCTTGCATTCTCTTCATTAGGTATTCTCTAATCCACTCTAGCATTGTGATAACAGGTTCCTCTCTGGCCTCCAAAATACAAGAGTTAAAGGTCTCACAACAGTTATTCAATAACATATCACATTTGGGAACATCCTTGAAATGTGATTTGGACCACTGCTCTGGTGGTTTATCAGAGAGCCATTTCCATGCATCTGGGTTCATCTCCTTAAGCTCTGCCATTCTATTTGTGAATCCTGACTTGGTTGTGGACATTGCAGCAGCCCATAAGGCATTTGTGAATGCCAAACCCCTAAAACCGGCTGTTTTGAAGTTATTGCAAAGATGCCTGACACAAAATCTGTGATCAGACTGAGGGAATATTTGAGCTGCAGCTTGAATGATCCCCTTCTGTTTGTCAGACATGAGGGTGAAACCACTGGTGTCAGTCATGGCTAAGTCATTCTTCATAATAGTCAAGAACCATGACCATGTCTCTGTGCACTCACTACTGACCACAGCATAGGAAAATGGGAACCACTTATTATTGGGATCAACACCCACTGCAACCAACAATATACCCCTGTGTGGGCCCTTCAAATGACATCCATCAATCCCCATTATTGGTCTGCACCCTTCTCTATACCCTTTCTTCATTGCAGCAAAACAAATGTACAACCTGTTTAATCTTGAATTTCCATTTTCATCAGCCTCAGTACCTAAAATGATAGTAGACCCAGGGTTTGATCTTCTAAGTTCCTCAGAATAATCCCACAACTTAGAATATTGCCCTTCTGCAGACCCTTGCAGAATTTTGAGTGCTCTTCTTTTAGTTCTATATGCTTGATCCTTAGAAATGTGGCACCTTAGCTCTTCAATGGTGCTTGTCCTGAAACCCTTTACACTTCTCTTGGGGTCTGCCTTAAAGTCCTTCAAGTATCTGTCACACAACCAGGAGGACTTCACATTTTTCACCTGCAAGGTAGATGAACAAAAATAACTACCATATATAAGTGTAAAGAAAAAATTAACTACCATATTTAAGTGTTAAAAAAATATTAAGTACCATATTTAAGTGTTAGGAAAAAAATTAAGGGTAAATAATTTTTTCCAACCTGTAGTATACGTGCTTTTGGGATTTTCAACCTAACGTATTTTTTGTTGTAAAATGCAACCTGAACTACATATATACAATTATTTGCACGTTCGACTACTTTTTGACCGTCCGATCATCTGTAAAAAAGGACACGTGTATGGTCAAGATGTGGTCGAGCGTGCAAATAATGACTGTATATGTAGTTCAGGTTGCATTTTATAACAAAAAATACTTTAGGTTGAATATTCCAAAAGTACGTATAGTACAGGTTGGAAAAAATTATTTACCCTATTAACTACCAATATTTGTTGTGCACTCATTTAACTGAATGTTAAGAGGTAGATAACATTTCTGACCTGAAAGGTAGATGGACAAGAATGTTCAGAAATGAATTCCTTGATGAACCAAGTTTCTTCATTCTTCTTCTTTATTAGATGCACTTTCCATGGGCAGTCTGTTGCGACACAGGTAACATACAACCTTGTAGAATCACTTCTACATATCTTCACACCTCTGTGACTCTCAATGGCATAACTTTGGACAGCTTTCTTAAATTCTTTTTTGGTACTAAATAGCATCCCAAGCTCAAACACAGGCTTGAAGATAGTGGCAGGATTGAATACAGGCATGTGTTCTCCCTCCTCATAATTGGCAATATGATCCTCTATGCCATCCCCATTATGGACCACATCTTCTTCACTGTGGCCACTTTCTTCTTCTGAACCCTGATTTGAACTTTGCACACTATGATCAACAAAATTCTGATATAGATCATCATCATCATCACTGTGGTCATCTTCCATATTGTACTTAGAATCCATGGAGTCTTCATCAAAGTTCTTTTCAACAGGGGCTACATTGGAGTTATTTTCAATATGGTCATTGTCACACTCTTGTGCAACCACATTTTCAGTTGATGACACCCCAGAATGCTCATCAATAAGCTTAAACAATTCATCATCATTGTCCAATCCCATTAAACGGGATGCTTCTGACAACTGATTTGTTGTGTCCACACTGTCATCAACATTATTCTCAAACTGCTCATCATCATCACTTTGCTCACTTTTCACATTGTAATCAGAATCAAGAGAGTCTTCACTAGGGCTCTTTTGAACAGAGGCTTCATTACAGTCTTTTTCAACAGATGCTTCTCCACCATCCTTTTCAGCAAATGCTTCTGACAGTTTATCTGTTGTGTCCACACTAAGATCAACATTGTTCTCAAACAGCTGATCATCATCACTACTTTGCTCAGTTTCCACATTGTAATCAGAATCAGGAGAGTCTTCACCAGATTTGTTTTGAAGAGAGTGCTCATTACAGTCTTTACCAACAATTGATTCATCAGTTGGTATCACATCCACATAAATTTCTATCTCCTTAAGAGGTAGATGCTTAATAAACCAGGCTCTAGCATCCTCATCAGTGAAAACTCCATGAAAGTTATTGCCACACAATACATAATGTTTCCTCATTTTTCCTTTTCCAACAACCTCATCAGTTAAACTATAAAGAGTTTCTATGTTCATACCTTTACTATGAACATAGTCAAAGATAACTGAATCACCCCCCTTATAGTAAGCAATAGGTTCATTAAAAAATTGACCTCCATAGTACACAACTACACTGAGTTGACCACTCTCACGAGCTGTGATAAATAAAAAATTAAAATTTCATCAGCAAAAATGAACAATTTTTCATATGAATAAAATTTCGTTTCTTATGTCCCCACATGTCTGTATAAAGCCAAACATAAAACCAATGCAGGACCACCACTTTAATTCTAACATTTTAAGTATACTCTCTTGATAATAGTGTATTATTGTCACAAAAAAAANATGAACACACAAACTGGTGCGAAACAATAGAGGAAAATTAAGGAATCTTACTGTACGCAGGAGGAGAAGAGTTTGGATTCCTATTGCTTCGCAAGTATATTGAGGATGTCATCAAATCGACGTCTTAATTTCTAGGGTTCTTGATCAATTGCAGCATGAAGCATTAGGGTTTTTCGGGTTGAAGATTGGGGCTTTTCTTTTTTGTTCGAATTTTTGCCGATTTTTGTGTGAAAAATGAAGGAGAAAACACGTGGATGGTGTATTTATAGACGGTATAGCTGAGGTGGATTAATTCGTCCACGTGTAGTCCACGCTGGCAAGTTTTGTGACCTCAGGCAGAGTTCCGACGAGTTTGGCCGGATTTGGGTAGAAGGACCGATTTTTTAAAACGTTTTGACTATTATTGCCAAAATCGAAAGATGGTGGGTAAAACTGTCAACCCGTCTAAGTTACTGGCTACTTTTTGCAATTTGGCCTATGTATTGCATAATTGCTGTGAAATTAAAGTATCATATATAGTCTATTTATGTTATGTAATAATTGGGAATGATAGCATCACCATATAGTGAAAATAGTAGTTGTGCAGGTTGCCCACTAAAGTAACAAGTCATTACCCCAGGACTTAAAAAAATTCTAGTAATTTAGTTAAATACAAATTAATGATCATGCAACTGAAATAACTGACTTTTTTGCTCACGAAAACAATCTTACTAATATATATAATCGAATAGATCAAGGGATAAATACTAATATCCTGATTGAACAATCTTATGTAAAAAATTAGTCAAAATGCTACATATCTTATCGCCCACTAAAACATATCATCACAAACAAAACAAAACTAAACAAAACAAAGAAAATGAATGTAAATTATTAATTCATACTACAAGCCCGAACAAATATATTACTGATAAAAACAATTAAATTAGTTGAATGAATGTAAATTAATTAATTCATACTGCAAGCCCTACTAAAAAAATGGATTCAATATATAAATTAATTAATTAAAGTACATTCTAATAACTTCATACCTCATTTTTAGTTTCTTTTTTCGTCCAGGATATTCATTATTCATATGGAAGGCCATATTTTTACTCAATCGTAATGGAATGACATTGTATACATTGAAATTTTAATACTTTATCAATTATGTATTTATTTATTTTTGGATATAAATTCAAGATAAATAAGATATTTAATTAATATAAAGTAAATATTTTTTATTCACCAAGTCAAATCTTAAGATAAGGACAAATCTTAGAATAAGAAAAGAAATTATATCAAATCATGAAAGACCAATGAAATTGACGTCTTCTTCGCTAAAACTATCTTCTACATAGGGTTCTCCTCAAAGCCACAAAACACACACCTCAAAAATTAAAGTGTCAAGTTCAAGAGCTCTTAAGAACTCTCTTGAAAATTTAAAGACGTCTTTTAAGATCCAAGTTTAAAATTCAATTAATTAAATCGATCTCACGTAATGAAATTTCTTTGTTTTGGTTGTTAATGAGATAGATTTACTTCTTAATTAAATCAATCACACGCAATTTCTGCAGCTGCACGTTCTTATGCTAGTCTTTTTTTCCAGGCGAGATTGATCAGTTACGGACGAGATTTGTGGCAACGAAGTTGC